CCAGCGCGAGGCATGAGCGACTTCTGCCTCGATCGCCTCGCTCGACTGCGGCTTAATGGTCGTCAAGTAAGTCTCCCTGTCGTGAAACAAATCATGTCTAACGACGTCCGACAGATCAAGAACGCCGTGGCAAGCGCACAGTCTATTGCATTGAATTGCAATGCACCATTATCTCCGGAACACGTAGACAAGGTACTTGAGGTGCTAAGCGAACGGGAGAAGGCACGGAAGGGGTGTGATAGTCATTGAATTCAAGTTTCGAAAACAGACGAGCTGTGACTCGCATATACCTTTTTCATTGTGTGGGGAATATACAGCTTTGATGACGCTCGGGTAGTGAGGTATCATAGTTATTCTGTATCAGCGTTGTGGTCGATATCGCCTTGGTGAGGGTATTATCGTATTACCAGAGTGTATGATCGGAAGCTTTCCCGATATTTAGTGGCTCTAAGCTTGCTAATGTTCGTCGTGTATTAAGCCTAGGATAGTTCAAATCTTCCTCAGCCACGTACTGAAGAAGTGTATTACTTGTAGATCAAGCGGTTTGTGGCACGTCAGAGCTACTGCTAAGAATTGGCGATGCACCGGTGGTGGTCGTTCCCCCAGAGGTGCGCAGCGCTTGAGAAGAAATTCGAAAAGGTAGGCCAGCGCCTTTCCGAGATAGCAGCGCTATTGCAGAAACTTAACGACAATTCGAAAACATCCAAGACAGAGCTATCACAAGTTGAGGAGGCTTCGAATTCCTCGAATTCAAGCAGGAGCGGAAAGTAGCAGGGGGAAAAAGCGGGGCCGTATCCCCCGAGAACGTGAACCCCCCATGTATACTTGAAGCCAAATCTCTCAAGCATGTAATTGGAACATAGCGTTACGCCCATACGTTACTTGTAAAGCAATATGCTCTGTCTTTTCCGCTGTGAATGACTATAGAAGTTGAGTCCCACTTTCACTAGTACTCTGCTCCCAAAAAAGGACGATAGGGGGCTTGTTACTAACTAGTGTACTAACGACCCGCTCCGTCAACGACTTATTGGAGCGGAGGGATGAAGCTTTTTTTCGGGAACAGGGTAGAGCGTCGTCAAAGAGGCTGGGTCCTAGGTCTTCCTCTCGAGTCGATGATTTCTAATTAATGGCCTCTAGTATAGGTCAAAATGCTTGAGCGCCTCCTTAGTCGAGAGCTTTTAGATCAGAAATAACAAATGACCTCTTGCCATTAAACAGGTGTGTTACTTGAAAAAACCAACAATCTATACCAGCCTAGCATACACGCTCCCACTTTCTGATTGATACTCCACCCTAATCTCCGCCTGGTCACAAAAATGGGCGAGGGCAAAGAATGCCGCGATTGAGGGAACAGCAAGCTCGGTTTCTCTCAGGATGACAGGAGGAGGGGAGTAACCCGCATTTAGTTGCATGCAGGAGTGATAGAGGTGATGTCCTGCTTCGTCGACGTCTTCTTCTCGGAGTCTGGGGTCCACGAGGGATATAGCCTTTCGTCGGGAGTAGGCGTAGGTGTGTCGGATTGGGGGTGGATCATCGAGAGCGCCATTGATGATCGCTGAGAGGACGGACTGGGAGTGGGGAGCGCAGGTGTCATCGAGATGCTGTCGATAGAGAGAGTCGATGATTTCCAACGACGCCTTGGTAGGCTCTTTGTTTCTCAGCTGGGCGACCTCATGGAGGAGCTCCATTTTGTCCCTCTGAGTAGTTAGCATTGCTATAAGATCAAGACTCTCGAGCATACTGTGAGTCCTTTGATGCTGTCTTTGAGTTCTTGTGCCTCTAATTTTAGCTTGACGATACGGAGCGGGCCATGTCGGTTTAATATACGGGCCAGTCGTAGTGCAGTCATAGACATGGTTTGAAGGAGCTTCAAGTTTTGGATGGTGGGAGATGAAGGTATGTACCAAGTCTAGGAACTATTACTTACGTCTCACTGGCGTCTTGCGATGCGAGACAAAGTTTCAGTTCGCTCGTAATGCGTAACAAGCTAGCGGCCAACATATGCCGATGTTTAAGTGATATTCCACCTGTATAAATCCGTTCGTAGATGGCTAAGTATGAGGACTTTTGGGTCGACGAGGATCTCGTCGTCGTAAGGGATGTTTATTCCAGAGAGGCTCCTTGTGCAAGAAATACGCAGGTGTGAGTAACAAAGTGAGTATCTCAGCATCCTAATGGAATCCATGTATCTCGATATCGGAGAAATGGTGTGCTCATCCATCATACGACAAGTGCGATAGATGTCTTCTTCGTCGATATAGCCCCTGGGCTGGAATACACCGTTGATGATTTCCAACGCCGGCCCTCGAGCGCCTCCTCAGTCGAGCGGAATCTTCCAGTTAAACATCTCCTTTTTCTTGGCGTCTACTTGGTGGAATACCTGGTTCGCCCTGGAGATCTCCGCTTCGTCGCTCTGGTATAGCATCGTGGACCTCAGGTGTATTATGAGCGCCGAGTAGGATTGCGTTTAGGTGGAAAACCGACACTTTCGATATCTTGTGTTTTATACAAGCCGGCGATGAGATGCATTTCGCACACCTGTAGGTTTGTAGTTCGGAAGAGGGGCGACATCGAGAAAGCATGCAGGACATTGTAACGGACATGCGGGAGATGAGAAAAGTTTACGATGCAAGAAAACAGCGTAGATATCAGTCTAAATCGAGGCCAACAGCCTATCCTCATCTCTGGACAGATATAGCACTCGTATCTTCGCCTCCCGACAAAACTGAGCGAGGGCAAAGAACGCAGCGACCTTTGGAGGAGAAAGATTGTTTTGTTTCAAAAATATATGTTTTGAGAACCCGGTGAGTGGGAGGTTTTTGCAGCAGGATTTGTAGAGCCTATGGCCGGCTTTGTCAACGTCGGCTTGGTGGAGTAGGGGGTCTATGAGGGAGATGGCGTTCTTCCTGCAGGAGGCGTATGTGTGGAATGAATTGTCGAGGGCGCCGTTAATGATTGCAGAGAGAACGGATTGGGGGCTGGGAGAGAGAAGTCCTAGGCGTCGTCGGTAGATGGAGTCGATGACGTCTGTGTGATATGGATACAGGATCTATCTGGAAAGATACATTGAACGGTTACACACCCAATGAAGTCTTGGCAGAGAGGGTTCCTTGTAGCTCGGCGACTTGGTAGAGAAGATGTACATTGTCAGCCTGTGAGTTATCTAACAAAGTGATCAAGAATGTCTAGAATCCACACACCTCAATATCGGAGAAACGGCGTCGCTCCTTATCCCATTCTCGTTCTTGTTCGCGTGCTCCATCCCTCATCAATTTCAGTTCATCCCTAATTGATTTCAGCTGCCGTTGAAACTCGAGCCGCTGTTCTTCGTGCGAGGCCTCGAGTCGATCGATTATACGTTCGTGGGCTTGTAGAAGGGCGTCGCAGTCGGAAGGAATACTATCGGACCTATTTATTCTAGAGAGGCTTCTTGTAAAAGGGACTAGGATACGCAGACGGCAAGCAGAATGCATGGTGCAAGGAGTATCGGGATTTGCCGAACGATGTCTCTTCCAGCTGAATTGCTGCTGATCGTCTTTGAACGGCTCTACTACCGCACAGACAAATGGACTCGAGAACCAGACTATCCCACATTAGCCGCGTGCTCGCTCACACAACGGTCGTGGTATCTCCCCGCGCAGAGACTACTGTTCAGACACATCCCGGCCAGTGTCCGCCTTGTCCGCCTATTTGACCACATCCGCATCCTTGATATGATCCTCACTCCCGACTCCATCCCCGACCTCGTGTTCCTGCTCGCCCACTGCCCGCGTCTGTACGAACTTGGTTTATCTGTGCGAGGCGTGTTTACACTCCCGCCCTCCGTCGTTACCGCCAACATCCGTGCTCTCCGCCTCGTCGAATGCAGCGTCCAGTCCCCGATCTTATACGACCTCCTCGCCCTGTTCCCTAGTATCCGCTTCCTCAGCATCGGCACCGAGATCGTCGCCCCGCCCCCGCCCACTGCCTCTCCCGCCCCCCGCCTCTACGAGCTCGCTCTCAAACGATCTTTAGGCACCGACATCCTCACATGGATCCTCGCAAACTCTTCCGGATCTCTCCGCATCCTCGAGCCAATGGACCTCCCCAGTGTGGGTATGAGAGATGTTCTCCTCCCACACGGACCATCCATCCACTCCCTCCGCATCTTCCGCTTCTCCAACACCGCAGCCTCCATCCTCCGCTCCTGCACCAACCTCAAAGAGTTTGTCCTGTCGAGCCTCCCTGTTATGGGTCCACGTCTCGCTGACCTCCCCAAATCCATCGAGCACTTTAGCTTGGCAAACTCCCATGCCTCGACGACAGACTGGAATCCATTCGTGCTGCTCCTACCTCAGCTCCCTGCGTTGAAGACATTTACCTGTGACAAGTGTTCCAAGTCTCAGTATGGCTTTGACGCCATGAAACTAATATGCAACAATAGCCATATTGATTTGTTGGCAGACGCATCGAATTGGTGGCCGGTACGCCAACTGTCTTTACAAAGCCTACCTGCTAACTGTTCACAGAACGAAGATCCCGTTCCCGTTCCTTCTTTCCCCCGTGGCCGCTCTCCAGACAACTTTCCGCTCATGAATTAATCACAAAACCCGCCTCGGATACTCGCTGCCACCCACACGACGTATACACTTGCGCCTACAACCGACAAAAGGCTATATCCCTCGTGGACCAGGAGAGGATGTCGACGAAGCGGGGCATCACCTCTATGACTCATGCATCCTGGTTGCGCACATACCATCACGTCTTGAGAGAAGGCGACCTCTCCCTCCCTCCTTCCCTCGCAGCTTTTGTTACCCTGACTACCCTGGCTCGTTTGTGTGACCGGGCGAGGATCTGGGTGGAGTATATACTAAGAATTGTATCTTGACAATCCGATTTTTGAATGTGATGGGCACTTAAAATCTATAATCTAGCCAGTAGTTAGTGCCGCTACAATATCGGCCCAGGTATGTCGCATAATGGGTAGAACGAGATTAGCCGGACATTGGCAGAGACTTTGTTCGGCAAATTCCGAAACTCTTTGGTAAATGTCCACCATGTCTGTCTTCGCTTCGCGGATAGCCCGTCTGCCGCGTATCTCTTGTACAAGAGGTCTCTCGCGAATAAGAATCCCTCGCAATGAAGTCTCCTTCAACATCAAGTACCTCACAGACGCCCACGAACGTGAACTCACTTTCCTCCAGTCCAGTTACGAGAACCAGTTGTCAGAGCTTCGGCAAGAGCTGGAAAGCCTGAAGGATACCAACCGCGAATGGGAGCAACGGCAATGGAAATGGGAGCAAGAACGCGCAGAACGAGAACGGGAAATATCCTCGAGGAGTCGTATTAAGGAGCAGCTGATGGTATACTTACACTTACTCGGAGCGTTGACTTGGGAACTAATGCATAATGTGTTACACTCAAGCGTGACAAAATCCAGCTTCTCCACAAGGTCGCGTGGCTGAGACAAGACGTGTCCGCAGCTCCGTCCTTGCGTATGTGCCTATTTCCCCCACTTGCGCAGATACCTAACCCCTGTAGGCATCATCGACTCGATCTACCGGCAGCGCCTCAAAGACCTTCCCCCGGGCCCTGGTCCGCAGTCCGTCCTCTCTGCGATCATCTCCGGCGCCCTCGATACCCCATCGCACACTTACGCTTGCTCCCGACAAAAAGCCATCTCCCTAGTGGACCCCACACTCGAAAAAAACGACGTCGACCTGGCTGGGCATAACCTCTACCAGGCCTGCCTCGACCACGTCCCAGTTCAAGAGTATAGCCCGCCCATTGACCTGAGAGAAGGCCAGCTTTCCCTCCCCTCGGTCGCTGCATTTTTTGCACTCGCTCATTGGTCCCGGGCAGAGATCTCGGTATATTATATCTCGAAGAGCGGGGAGATGGTAGCGAGTCTCGAAGGCAGCTCTTATTACGATGACGATTCTCTGAGGGATATAGAACTAAGTTAACGACTGGTGGCTATTGAAAGAGTGATACTCCTTATCCAGCACGCCGAATATATTCAATGTAGATTTTTGAAGTGCTGCACTCTGAACGAATACACAAGCAGCGAGAAAAATATGCTTCATTAGCGCCAGCATTCCGTGAAAGAGTCAAATTTACGGGCTAAACTTCCGAGTTCCAAACAAGACACAAGATCGCAAGAATGGTCGTAGGCCGCACTCTCAAAATCAAAGATATGAAGAACTCCCTTTCCATCTCTCGTGATATTCCTGGGCTGGAGATCATAATGGACCATGCCGATAGAATCCTACAGCTGAGCAAACACAACCCCACATGACTGATACTCCACACTAATCCTCGCCTGATCGCAAAAATGAGCAAGTGCAAAGAAAGCAGTGACCGAGGGAGGAACCAGATCCTCGTGTCTCAGGACAACAGGATTCGTGTAGCCCTCGTTCATTATATTCCGATGACAGGAGAGATAGACGCTGCGTCGACGTCGCCTTCGTCGAGATCAGAGTCCACGAGGGATATAGCTCTTTTTCGTGAGTAGCTGTAGTTCTGGGATGGGCTGTCGAGGGCACCGTTGATGATTTCTGAGACGACGGACTGGGGGCCGGGGGAGAGCCGGCCCAAGTCGTTTTCGAGACGCCGTCGGTAGAGAGAGTCTATGATTTCCAACGACGCCTTGGCGGGTTCTGCGTTTCTCAACTGGGCGACCTGATGGAGGAGCCCCACTTTGTCGCTCTGAGTTGTTTAGTTATGTGTAGCATCGTCGAAGAGTCAGAGCGTACTATGAGCGCCTCTTCAGTCGAGCAGAACTTGGATATTTCCTTTTGCTTGGCGTCTAGCTGTTCTTGGAAGCGGGATACCTGGTTCTCCAGCGCTTTTGAGGTCTTGTCTTGGTATTCCCGATGCAAGCGAACTATTTCGCGCTCGTGTGCAACGATTAGGGGTGTGATGCTGTCTTCGAGTTCCTGTGCTGATGATTTTAGTTTGGCGATAGTACGGAACGGTCCACGACGAGCGAAGGTTCGCAGAGCAGTGACAGGCAATGGCATTGGCATGGTGGTGGTGGTGTTACCGGTGCCAGGATGGTTGAAAACAGGGAATCGCAAATGACGTCACGAGGAACGCCTTCGTTTCTCGGCACGCCTCAGCACGAAGGATCATGCTCCCGGCTTGTTTCCCCCAGCAACAACGTTCCTCGGACAAGTATGGTTTCGACTCGGATGACTTTTTGAGCTGTAAAACTACATTTCGAACTTGATGTGATATTGACTACTCCTTAGTGGACAGTATGGAATGTGATATCCTGTCGAACGTATGAGCAACGCAAGTCTCGGAGGCGAAGCTCGGGGAACGTTCCACACTGCGGTAGCCTGGATGGGTGGACTGGTAAATAGCGCAGTTCTTGACTTATTTACTTCAATTTGATGAACATCCAGCACTACTTCAATTTAAGCACTCTAAACAAAGACATATGCATCTAAAAAAATGTGCCTCCAAGTCACTGGCGCCAGCCTTCCGCAAACGAGTCAAATTTACGGGCCAAGCTTCCGAGTTCCATACAAGACGCAAGATCGCAAGAATGGTCGTAGGCCGCACTCTCAAAATCAATTATGCGAATAACCCCCTTTCCATCTCTGGTGATATTCCTGGGGTGGAAGTCATAGTGGACCATGCCGATAGAATGAAGGGCTTTGCAGTGATTCCAGATGACCTTCCTACGTACAGTCAAAACCAGAAAAGAAAAGAAATAAGATGCGGAAGATACATAACCTGCATCCTTCCACGAACAACCCACGCTCTCTCCACCATCGGCCATGATCATGGCTGCCCAATATTGATCGGGCATGGCGAATGCGCCATAATAGGCAGGGGCGACATCGAATAGTTGACGACTTTGAAGGTACTGGTAGGCCTTGAGCTCCTTTTTCATCACATCGAAATGCCGTCGCGGATACATCTTGACCACCAGTGGGGAGCCGTCGCTGAGGGTGCCACGCCAGACTCGAGCATAATTGCCTCGATGGATTTCCCGTGAGATGGCCACAGAGCAAGATATTAGATTAGTCGACGCCAACAGAGGAGAAGACCTGAACACGTCAGAGCCGCTAGCACTACCAGAGAGAGGAGCATCGTTGACCGGGCGCAAACTCTCGTAACGAAAAACTACTCGAGGAGCCGCAGATACACCTGGATGGTCTACGTAAAACAACAACTGAAAATTGTGTCAAAGAAGGGCTGAGAAAAAGTTTCTGGGATAAAACGTACCGTAGCTGGTATGGATGCGATCTGAGTTTGTCCGACGTCGACTCGATCGGTGAGCGCTGGTTTGCCCTGTTTCGACCTGGAGACGGTTGAGATACTCAACCTTTTCGAGGACCGCACCTTGAGAGGCTTCACCAGTGCTGGAAGCTGAGGAATAGTATCCACGATGACATTAGGAAGTAGTAAACCGGTCAGAACTGCCAGAAGTGGAATTCCGCCATCGTCGTGGGGCGTGCAGAAGTCGTACACGGGAGGGTTGTCGTCTTCGAAAAGATGGTAGTGCGGGGACACCAATAAAGCGTGCTCCCCACTATCATATGTTACTTGAAAATAAATGAGACATTATTTAACCACGCATTGGCAAATAGAAAAAATGGGCGCACCACGTTCCGTCAAAATAGCGGACACGCCGCTGAAAAACAGACCAAATTTTGCCCGTGGTGTGCAGGTGTATCCCTGGAGCCACATCTTAAGGCCATTCGCTGTTAGTTATCTGTGCCAAAGACAACCATACTGACTTTGATGGCCATGGCCCTGCCACCCTCTTACCCTACAGGCTCATAGACCTGCGACTCTCGAAGCTCCGTTGCGTAGCGGTAAAGCACTCTCGGGTGCTTTATCTCCACACCGACCACCTTGACGTCCTCGTGGATGTCGATATTGTGCGTAAACAAGTTCATCTCGCCCGTTTCCGATTCCAATTCCGACACATGCACCAGATCCACAGAGAAAGAGCTTTCAAGGGCGGCGACGGCTTCCAAGACGACCATCCGTACATTTTGCAGTATCCACAAGATGTCGTATTCGTTTTTGAGTTTCTGCTTCGCACTTGCCACCTCGAATAGGGTTGAGATGCTGCTAGCGACGTAGAAGGGGACGGGGTCATCGATTATGCCTAGCTGCTCTATCAAGGCCTCTAACGGAAGAAGTATGCGGTCTAGGAAACTGGGATCCAAGCTGCTCTGGCGCAGGAATTCCTCGGGTTCTGGCGGTATGTTGGCGGAATATGGTATGCTTTGAGTCGAAGCGGGCTCCAGAATGCTGGGATGGGAGGGAAATCGCAAATGTAAAAATTCTCGCCAACGTCTAGATAGGATGGAGAACCAGCTTCTCCGCCTGGAGAGGACTCGTCGCCAGCAAGAAACAGAATGCAAGGAAAAAATTTGACCAATATTGCATATCTCAGCTACCCTTCATAGAACAGTTTGTCAATCATAAACATATCATGAGCCTTGTGCAATTTCTCCATCGCCCCTATCCCCGGTGCCCACTGTATTTTTTCGGACAACCGCATCGGGTACTCTGCCTCACCATCCTTCCCAGCCCAATCAAAATCAATCAACTTGACTTTATCATCTCGCGTGAGCATGATATTCTGCCGCCGCAAGTCACCAAATACAAAGTCGTGCTCATGCAGTTTAAGGATAGCCTCGCGCACCGATGTGACAAACGATTCTGGTGCCTTTCGACCTTGGTATCGGACAAATGCGTTAGTACCTTCCACCTCTTCCATCACCACCATGCAAAGACTGCCATATGAAGGTGCATCGGCGGAAGAATCAATAGGACCGTGATAGAGGAGCTTTGGGGCTAAATCAGCATTAGCAAGAAGTTGATGTGCTTCATCCCCATATTGCTCTACAAACTTGACAACAATGCGGGTGCGAGAAGGGTCTGTTGTTTCTGCGAGAAAGGTGACACAGAGGGTATCTTGTGGATCTATTGGGCGGAGATATCGAAAAGAGGTAGTCGAGTTGTTCGAGGTATAGCTCTTGACATGAGGGTAGTAGCGAGGGTGCTCCATCGAGGTTACAGGTATAGTAGGTACGACGAGTGTATCCCAGTAGTTTGCCAACGAGGTAAGACAGTTACCGAAGACGTGAAAGAGCTGGGCTATGCGTCGGTAATGAGGGCTGTTCAGATGAAGATCGACGACCCTAACGAGATCCGTCAATGGTTCGATAATCAACTTGTCGGTAAAGACGGCGCCCAAGACACCTATCCAAGGACCTGCAGCTGCGAGGACAAGAGTAGGGCAGCAGGTTGCATTTCTGTAATTGGCGCGCTAGCAAAAGAACGGTCATCTAGGACAGAACGGAAAACATTCAGATTTACATTTTCTTGCGCCCAAAAGTGGCGGACAGACAAACCCCCCTGAATGGAGGGGTCGGACCCGCCCGTTCCTATCTCATCCTTGATCTCACTCAGCGAAAGGGCCACGTTCTCTCCTTCCACTGCGTGCACGGGTCGATGTACAATGGTACCATCAGGTTCAGTTCCATCGATATTGACGATATGCTCGAGGGAGTGGCCGATGGCGGCTGAGAGGTGAGGAACAAGGTTTTCCCTTCGACGCTTGTCTCCCTTCCTGGAGCCTGTATAAATAGCCGAGGATACCTCAACGACCTTCATGGTGGCACGTGAGACGTCTTGAGGCACTGGGAGATCCACATTGGCGAACTCCGTCCTAAATTGGGAAAAGACAGGATGATAGAGAGCGATGGGTAAACCTTCAGTATTCTGAGGATGGTCAGCGTCGTAACGGCCATCAAATATTGGTCTTTGTTTGCTTTGGTGATCTTTGTACCCCGTCGACTTGGCCTGCTGGGAAGGCGTTGGTCCTCTGAGAACCTCGGAAAGCGTCTCTTGAAAGTCTAACGTAAAGTAAAACAATAGTGTGGAGTTAGATTAGCACCGACACGTACTACGAGGCATTAGATCATGAACTGGATCTAGCATCTCTTCGGATTCTGGCGGCTCAAGAACGACGACGAAATCGAGTAAATCGACATTATCATCGGTAACGCTTGGCATAGAAAGCTTGGTTGACGTTGATAAATAGGTTGCATGGTTCTCGATAGCGCCAACGAGTGGGTTATGGTTACTCTCCCAATCAGGGACGGTCATGGGTTCAT